TTTTTTTTTTTTTTTTTTTTTTTTTTTTTTTTTTTTTTTTTTGTAATTGTATAATTTCTCATCACTCTTCGCCTCAGACCCGGCTGGAGAAAATGTCTGACTTCCACCAGAGGGGAGAAGAGCTTGAGAATAATTCTGCAGAATGTCAGAGGCTTGTAAAAGAAGCCCAGAAACAACTCAAAGAGCTGGAAAAACAAATGATGGAGAGAGATGAGGATGGGGAGAGAGAGGCCGAGCTGAAGACGGTCCAGGCTGAGCTGAAGAAACTCAAGGAGGATGAGAAGTGTTTTGAGAAGCTGAAAGAAGAACACCGGCGAGAGGAAAGCAGACTGCCCTGGAATGTCGACACCATCAGCAAAGAAGGCTTCAGTAAGGTGAACGAGAGAATCAGGATTCGAAAATTTGGTTTGACTCGTCAGTTTCCTAATTCATCTCTTTTTCTGGTTTTCTAGAGTGTTCTCAACGTGAAGCCTGTAACTACAGAGGAAACTCAGCAGGAAAAGGAGGAGAAACACAAGACTTTTGTGGAGAAATACGCAAAGGAAATCAAACATTTTGGTAATTTTTTATTGTTTAATTTGTTTGCTATCATGCTTCTATTTGTGCACTCCACTTTCCTCTCTTAATCAGATTGGCTTATACAAATGTAAAAAAACATATCCCCTGATTGAAAATATTTTTATTATAGCCCCATGAAACTTATCCCATATTACCCTGATGGTTATTTAAAATAATCTTAAGTTTTGTTTTCATTGTGAGGTGCTACCTCACATTGACACATTTGATGTTTAACCTTTGATAACGTTGAAATGTTTATAGATTTTAAACCCATTGTCTTTATTAATCACATTCTGTATGACCTTGTATGTCTCATCCATCATTTTGGGGATTTTGTTTTCAATTTGTCCACTGAAGTTTGCAATCTGCTGCTCTATTCGTGATCAGAGTTGGGTCTGGAGCTGGAGCCATCAGACAGATGGCCTCGCATTTGACTTTAAAATACTTTTATGTACAAAAGAGCTCAAGGTCGACTCATTACCTCGTCTCACGCAGCTGTTTTCTAGCTGGACCTGATGAACAGGATCCTCACAGAGCCAAACAGCCAAGCACATCAAATGTAGACTGAGGTGCATGTGAGAAAATCCCATCATGCAACAAAAAAAAAAAAAAAACTTTAACCTGACAGTATATTTGCAGGGAGCTAGRACAAGCTGTTGAGTGCATCTTTAGCTGCACTAAAGTGAACCAATTAGACGATGTGATGTGTTGGTAGCTGAGAGTCGTCTTCAACACAGATCTTGTGATGCAATTTTGTGCAAAATTGTGTATTATCGAAAAAGGAAGGAAATTAGTGTGCCGTATAAGTGTCAATATCATTACTATTTCTTTGTTGTAACAACGCTTCTTGACATTAAATCTTATAACTTTGGAAAGTCTGCTCATTTCCCTTTTAAATGGTGCCAYATTTGTAAGGAACATGTATTTGTTGAATGAGCAGTGGAGTGTGTGGGTTGCACAAATGAAAAATTTGCCAAATTCATATAAGATTTACGATATAAGATTTATTGCCAAGATTTGCCACAAAGAAATAATGTACCTAACAAAAATTTCCTTACTTTTTGTGCTAAGTTTTAATTTCCCAGGTTTGACCCACACTGCTATAACTGTCTCGTCCTCATCATAAGATGATTTTAGTTCATCACTCTAGCATCAGAGGCGGCAGATGCTATGCGTTCCTTTAAGAAATGTAATTCCACAGACTGAAAACACATCAGTATTCTGCTTCAATTTTTAAAATGAAAATATTCACCAACATTATCAGGGGGAGTTGTGGCACAGAGGTTAAAGAAAGTAGGTCACTGGTTTAAATCCACTGACCATTACATCAAAATGTAAGTGAGAAAGATGAAGCACCCGCACCCTCTCCCTCCCACCCCTATTAGCCCCACTCTGGGCCCTTGAGCAAGGCCAAGTCTCTATATGAGTTAGCTCAGCAGTCAAAAGAAAAAGTTAATTTATTAACATCCATCAATTTTCTTCCACCTATCCGGGGTCGGGTTGCGGGGGCAGCAGCTTCAGAAGGGAGGCCCAGACCTCCCTCTCCCCAT